TAACCGTCCTGAGCGTTACGGAAATCTCTTTTCTGTTTGTGTGTGTCGCCTCTGGAACGATCTAACACATGCGGCCTGTTTCGTAACAAAACAACTCATGTTTAAGTGCGGTTGGATGACGCACTCAGGCACTTACATGTCTTAGTAACGGCAATGGGAACCATGGGGCAACGAGATGAATTATTCCCCAAAAGCTAGCTCAGTCGAAAGGCGTAACAAGACAAACAGCGAGTGAAACCTAGGACTCTCTATCATTCCAGTCACCCAACCACGGTGAAGCTGCCAATGTGCAGCGCGCGCGTACTCACTTTGATTCGAATCGCTACATCCATCAAACGCGAATCCTTCAACATTGCGCTTAGTGAGCATGCGGCACTGCCGTCCAAACGCTCTCACCGACCCTCCGTTGTCACTAGCTCAAATTCCATGCCAACCGATCCTCGACAATGGTGTGTGTGAGCGACTTCATGTCATTACTCCCAACGGCCAGTTCATTCGGACTCAGTCATGTGGGTGTCTAGCGGTATATGGACAGTTCAACGATGACGTAAGTGGAAACACCGCGAAACGAAATTTTACGTAGAAATGCATTTGTCTCAAAGGTTAAGTGCAAACCACCATGATCACGCGGGACTGCTAAGCCAAGGTATGCTCCCTAGCATGCGTGTAGCAAATCATGCCTGAATACGACTGTCGACCGCGACTAGGCACCCGCTAAATCGCACGCAATCTGCGCCACACCCAAACATTCTCCGGTAACCCATGTCGTAAACTCCTCCGATTTGCTATTGGTTGAGTTGGGATTGGTCATTCAACGAGTAGCGAGCTTTCGGGCGTCCACGCCCCGTTGGCTGATATTTGATTGCCTTAAGGACGATTTTGAAAGATGTGAGGATGAAGCCTATTTCCTTAAGACTGAGTTTGAAAGCGTTATTGATGCAAGTAACTGAGAAAAGGTGTAGACTGCTTATCCTTACCTTCACGACATTCTTATTGTTAGTTCATCCGACGAAGAGCACCTCGACAATCTACAATCACTCTGCCAGCGGTTGACAACACGGTGTCACTGTGAACACGACTAAGTGCGAACTTGGCAAGCCAATGTTTGGACCCCTAGGACTCCTCGTCTCGTCGTCTGGTATCGAGGTTCTCGCAGATAAGATTCAAGCTATTAAAAACTTCCAAGTTCCGATTTTATTTGAACGCCGGCATCGACTTTGGTCTTGTTACTTACTATCGGGGCTGCGCTCAACTCATGCAGCCTTTGAATGACCTGCCCAGAGGAAACGGCGTTCACCGAGCTTAAGGGTGCTGTTTTCAACATAGCTCTCCTCGCTCACTCAGAACAGTATGCTCTCCTTGCTATTACAAGTGACGCTTCAGACTTTGCGGTAGGAGCTGTTCTCCAACAACACGTTGGTGAGTAATGACCTCTCGGTTTCTGTTTAAATAAATATTTTATTCTCGAATTTATCGAAGCACACCATTTGAGACATGATCAAAAGGCTACAAGTAATCATTCACAAAAGGCACGTTGCATCGCACGCAATGGGAAGATGGCTAAAAGGGATGAGTGTTGCAAAAATCAGAGAAGTATTGGTGAGGAATAAATCTGATTAATGTGATGATAGTGTTTTCACGTATGTGTGGTGTAGAGATAAACAGTAATAATGTATAAAGTGAAGTGGTGATGGGATGTGCAGACAGGGAAGTATTTTGTAATGTAACAATAACAGCGGAATCCAAGTACAGCACGTTTGGTAGAGAAGTGCTTACCATCTACTTCGCTATCCGTCACTTCCGACACACATTAGAATACCGGGCTTTCAGGGTCAACCATGATCACAAGACTCCTTTTCACCTTTATCTCATCGGACAAACACTAGCCACGGGAAACCAGACACCCAGACTTTATCACACAGCTCACTGTTGATATACGTCATGTCTCAGGTATCTCCAACCCCGTCGCCGACGTTCGCTTGTGCATCAACCTCTAGCTTTCGCCTACTGTCGACCTTGCCGCCATGACATCGGCTCAGATCGAACATGAAGATTTTCAACGCACTATGCAGTCCACTTCATTGCATGTGTAACCCGTTCATCTCCAAACCACGGATGGAACTGTGTGACACTTCCAGTGGTTGTCCAAGACCCATCGTGTCCGTCTCTTTCAGAGGCACTCCACGCGCTATCACATTCCAGTATCCGTAAATCTTTGAAATTGATCACCAGACGTATCGTTTGAGAAACCGTTCGTACCTTGCCTCAAGCTTGTCTTCACTGTCTGCGCCTAAAGTACACCAGCGCACCCGTATTCCTCTTGGGTCATTCCCCGCCCGACAGCTCACGTTACCCTTGACTTTCTGCCAACCCAATCCCGTGCAACTGACCGACGGCGTATTCGAGCAAACATCCGGTCCGCTTTTTAGATTCTGTTAAAGTTCGCTATTTTCCTTTATATGAGTATTCCTCAGCTTTTATGGTAATCGCGTTTTATTTACTAACGTTTTGCAAAATGATACAAAACGTATGAGAAATTAACAAAGGCACACCTTTTTGTCTCGGTTTCCACAGGACATCACGCCGCCTGTCTCGACTAGGTCCTACCCTCCCGGAATTCGGCATTCCAGAACCCAAGTGACCAGAAAAACTGCGATACCTCTTGGTCCAGTTGCCCGAGGCCTCACGCGCCTTCACCTTGGCTCCAAGCGACGGCTGTTCGCTCCACTACAGGTGCTGACAATTGCTAGTTTGGCCCACGAGCGCTTATATGCGTTTTTCCACCGGCGATATCTGGGATTCTCCGTGGAACATGGACCATTTTGGCCATGGACTGGGGTGCGACACCTCCCAAGCGCACCGTCGGGTCTGCAGATAAGAAAAGGTCCTATCGACCTTTCTTATGGACTAGCCAGATTTTTGAAGTCCGACCAGCCAGCGTCGACAGTCCACCGAAGATGTACTCCGGCGCACACTCAACCAATAAGTAATAAATAACAAAGAACCCAGCGAACTTTACGTGCCCCCTTTCGGTCCGCCTGTGCCCAGTACAATTGCTACCCAATTCTCCCATCCTCACTTTCTTCTCATCTGGCACTTCTAACGAAGATTTTGATCACTCAGCATTCTAGGGATAGACCCTTGAAGTGAGCGTAAGACATCTACGCTTTTAATATTGGGCAACATTGGATTTCATCCATGTTTGTATTTTCCGATCGTCCATTTGTTTTACTGATGGCAAATCCGGTTCACTTGCCCTCTCCCCGTGGGTCACACTGTAAGCCACTGTTTGCTCTTGCTTAACTACTCTCCATATTTTGTAGCTCTTGTAAAAAAACAGCAGTACATCAGCCATTTGAACTGATGCTTCGCTGTCATACAACCATGATGACCTATGGTATAAAGAATAATAAGAGGGAAAGGGGACCTAGCGGAAAACCTTAATGCTCTAAGCGAACATTCGAGGCCAGGGCGCCTACATCTTGTGTTGAGAACACACAGTCACAAACAGCTGGCTATCGTGCAAAGATAAGGCGGCATCGGCGAGACAGCTTCCTTGCGGCTTTCACTGCTCCGCGACATAATCAGCCATTATTCCGCAGGTAGCTTAGCACCAAACACACTCTAAATAGGCAGTCCAACTAGGAGACGGAAGCAGACGCACCACTGGTGTCAGCTGCAAGCCATGTCCTGTAAAGTCTCGAGGCACCCTATACCTGGCAGACTAAACAATGCCCTCCTAGGTAAACGGTGACCATCCATACGTGGTATGTGCCTAAGCCAACGCAACGTGTTCAGTGCTATCAGTTGTTCCAAGGAACTAGCTGGGTTATCACTACCTAGTACTCGCATACGCACCTCATCGTTGCGGACACGCTGGAGCCATTCGACACCAACAATGCTTCGCAGACAACGATGATCAAAGACTCAGACCGAAGGGGCCAAGTCTCACTCCCATAGAGCAGAACGGTTCTCGCTGTGATCGTGAATACACGGCCTTTCAGACAAAGGGAAACTCCCTTCTGTCGCCAAAGATGCCGCAGGTTCAATAAGGCAGCACTGGCATTTGCATTGCCTGAAATGACTTCAGTTTCTATGCGCCCATCATTGCTGATGCAGTTGCCAAGATAAGTGAATTGATCAACCACCTCGTTAGTAAGGGTCAACGGGTCATAAAGTGGCTGGCGGTCCTGCAGCAACACTTTGAAGGTGCGAAGCGCATACCAAATAATGGGATCACTCTGGAGAGGCTAGTTAGCGTTGATTGTGCTACTCCAACATCGTTAAACAGCAAGGCGATATAGTTCGCATAATCAAGATCAAGTAACCTTTCGAAGGGCAGGACCTCGACGCCTACATCGCGAGATTCCGCAAGGGAACACTCCACGACGAAATTGAACAAAAGTGGGGAAATCGGACAACTCTGACCAATGCCACTTGTAGCCTTAATACACGTTGAGTTCAGGTGCCACTGTTATGTTCATTAGCATTTCCGAGCAAGACTGCCCATTTAAAGTGTAAACATTGTTGAACTCGGTGAATGCTGAGATCGATGATGACGCGGGGTAGTGAAGTCCCAAGGAAGCTTCTTCGCCCAATACGCCTTATCTTCTCATAATGACCAGTTGTATGTAATCGTTCAGTGCATATAGGGGGTGTGGGAGTATTATACTCAAATGCCAGTGTCAAAGTGGATTCTCGCTATCAGCAATGTCGTCTAACATCATGATTAACGGTAGTGCGGCAGTGAGCCCCGAGTTGTTGATGAGAAGTGCTCATTACCGAAGTTGCCCGCATCAAGATAAGTACGAAACAAGCGAAATACCATTGCCACCAGAGTTCATCCGCATGTGTATGGTGTGCCGTTACAGTTTTGTCTTCCACCGAAAGATACCAGATAATCCACCTACTACTGGAAGACTATCTAGGAGCCCGCTGCCACCAGTGAACCAAGGATGCATCATCTACGTGTGTGTGCAGACATCCTTCGAAAACAATTGTTAGCCGAAAAAGGTTACAATACGGAATAAAATATCAAGAAAATACAAAATGCTATGTGCAAATGCACATGGTGGATGGAAAATTGAAGAAAATACAGTAAAATACAGTAGTAATCCAAAAAACTGGAGTGTTACCCGGAACATGATACAATAAGAGAAGAGTAGGGGGTCAGCTGTAGATAGTGAGCAAATGGGTGGATTGCAAGGTGGGCTGGGCGGATGAAGAGAAAACAGTAAAATGCATAGAGATGGGGATAAATACAGCAAGATAAAATGACTAAGATAAAAACATCAAATTAATCACATTTGCGATGAAGGATCTGATCCGTTCGAACGAAACTGACCAAATTCGACTGGATGCCACAAAAATTTCTGTTGGATCGATAGACAGTGACGAGAGTGGAATGGTCAAGTCGATGATGCGCACAGCGCCAACGGGAGATGGGGAGTTAAAATTTCGACGTCATGATCGCGAGAGCCCACAACGGAATCTTGAGGAATTCTGGTACAAAATAGGCCAACCGCTTCCAACCGGCTAGTTGTAGAAGAGATTTGACAGCAAGTGGGCTTTTGGGGTACTTCCCGTTCCGATCGCGTAGTCGAAATTTTCGAGCAAGCTCTGTACCGAACAGGCATTTACCAGATTGACTGATCAGAGCCTGACGAGACTGGTCAACTAGGCTGCAGACGATTTCACCTGGAAGTTCCAATGGCATATCTGATGGAAAAAGAAATGGGAAGCGAAATTCACAGAACACATGATGGACTGTGAGTGAGTGCTCGATTACTAATATTATAACCCATTGAAATGTAACCGTGTGTGTGTCCTGGAACCTCATCATGTAACGACAAATCAAGGCCGACGACTCAAACGATGTGGGGAGCAGAAGTGGGAGTGAAAGATGATTTTAATATGGGACCTAAGTACATTAAAATAAACATTTGATGCTATGGTGCTTACATAGTGTGAACATCGTGTAAGGACACCAACAGCAAGCTGCCCTGCAAGGACAAGGAGGTATTGGAGAGCGGTTTAGTTGAGATAAAATAGTATCCAACCGCGGTGGACACAGTTGCCATGTCTCGTGTCGTAGGAAGAAAATAACAGAAATGATAAGGAAAATGAGATAACATGCAATTAGGACAAATGGAAAGTCAGAGAAATGGGGAAAATTGATCGGGATGGAATGGCAACAACCGGCTCGCTCAAATATGCGAGACAGCCTCCTTGTGGCTTTAATCACCTAGGGTCACCCTCCACTTCATCCCACAGCTAACCAAGCATAGTGTATCAGGACTAGACGTTAGCTGCAGTAAGTTCGCGCGTAACCAGACAGCAGAAATAAAATTGCGCAGAAGTACGGTATACTCAAAAAATAACACGGAGCGTTTTCCAGCGTAAGAAGCGCATATGTGCGCGCATATGTGCGCATGCGAAATCAATACGTTTTAAACCAGCTTAAGTCACTGATTGCTGGTCAACACGTGATATCCCTCCTCGTTATGGCTGATGTTAATGTACGGGTTGGAAATGTTCAACCGGTTTGCGAATTCGGCTGGACCGCCGAAGTAGCCTCTCACTTGTCGTTGCAACTTTTCCGCCCTCTGCGCCAAAACGGGAGTCAGACTCCGTTTCGGACGATGTGTCTGTGCCCCAGGGCGTACCTGATCCGAATGTCGGCGGACGATCCGGCCGTCCGGAAGTTGTAGCCTGTTTTGACTTCCTGCAGAACTGAGTACAGTTGCTGGTTGTCAGCATTGTTCATGTGGTAACCGAGTGTATTTTGGTTGAGCCTCTCTAAATGTGCTTTAATCTTCAAGCTCCAATGATGACACAGACTTCCTCTGTCGTTCCTATGCTTCAATCGGCGGGTACGGAAACAACAAATGAAGCCTCGTCCAGATTTCTGCCAAATATCAGTTTCGCCGGGGATTTGCCAGTGGTCTCGGTGGGTGTGGAACGGCAGGCAAATGGAAAACGATTCGATTTCGTTTGTAAAGTTCCCACTCGCTGCTTTAGTAGGTCTTGTTTCATCGTTTGCCCAGCCCTTTTTGCTAGACCGTTTGATGGATGATACGGAGCAGTTTTCATATGCTGAATCCCATTGTTGGTGACTGGCTTGCCGAACTACCTCCTCGTGGTGCCAGCTGGGTGGTTCCGGTGCACCCCGTTCCAGCGAAGTCTTCGGCGACAGTGTTCCACCTCGGTGGGGCATTGTAGTCCAGCAATTGTGCTGATTTCATGGGAAGTATTGGGCACCTGTTTGATCTACCAAAAGGCGTATGAATTGAACATTCAGTCAACGCCTCCCAATGGACACGATTCCCTGAATTCGCCCCGCTGCCTTGCGGGCAGGTTATTTAGCCAAAGGCTTGGGGTGAGGTCCCCTTAGTTAACTCCCTACTTCGGCTTGGGCAACCGGGTAGTATCACACCCTCTCACAAAACCATGGACTGTAACAGAACGTGCTCATCAGCTACCGTTTCTACTTCTCATATCCACACGAATTCATCACACGCCAATAGTTTGTTTGGTAACAATCCTTACTTTGCGTTACCCGATTTATGTGTTTAAAAATCTGACTGCAATTCAAGTTGCGCCGCGAACCACGGAGTTCAACCTATGGGTCCTCTTCGTCCCTAATCCTCGTTCCGTCTGGTGTGCTTCAACGTTCGGACACTCATGCAGATTGGACAGCAAGCCGGTCTAGCGCGCACCATAGAGTCCCTCGATATTGATGTCTGCTGCCTTTCAGAAACCCGATTGCAAGATCCCAACACTGCGCTTACATTGACAAATTCCCCACTGAGTACGACGCCAGATATCACTTGCATCTTTCTGGAGATCCAGAAGCAATCTCAGCGGGTTTGGCTGGTGTAGGTATAGCACTAAGTGGCAAGGCCGAGATGGCACTACTGGACTGGTTCCCGATTAACAGCCGACTGTGTGTAGTTCGGCTTCGGGGTTCAGGTAGAAACAACCAGCGCCGCGAGGAGAAACGCAACTTGTTTGTGATCTCCGCGTACGCTTCAAATGACTGCAGTAGTGGCTCGGTCAAGGACGACTTCTATCGGGAGCTACATCAGATCTTGAATAATGCTAAAAATCGGATGTCGTTGTCCTTGCTGGGGATTTTAATGCACGGATTGGTCGTCTGTTACCATACGAACGCCACATTGCTGGTCACCACGCGCTCGATGAGAACCGCTCTGATAACGGAGAGAGGCTTTTTACATTGTGTGAAGACAAGCATCTGTGTCTCTCGAGCACTAACTTCAGGCGTACGAAGAAGCGTTCCGCAACGTGGCGTCCCTTTCGCCAACACAACCGTGATCTCAAATTGATCACATTGTAACTAGCTTCGGATGACGTGGCAGCGTACTGGACTGCAGATCCTTTTGGTCCACTTTCGTTGACTCAGATCATGCAATGGTCTGCGAGAAAATCTGCAGGGATTTTGGAGGGTCTAGCAACACGAAGCACCGCAAGACTGATGTAAACAGATCAACTGATTCATCTGTCCAGGTGAGATATCAGCCTTCACTGGCATACGCACACAGTTTCAATCCACCGCAAGAACTAGAACAACACTGGACTTGTACGCAGAAAGTGATGACCATTTCCAGACAGTCAAGCTGCGGCCTAGCTCGACGCCCCTTAAAAGCTTGGATCTCTGCTCGCTCTCTGGAGCTGTTCGACCGCCGCCAAAATACCCCGACGGAATCAGATTGCAACGAGCGACACCGTTCTGCCAACCGGCTGCTCAAGCAAAGCCTACGCAAGGATCGCGAGACATGGTGGTCTGAGCGTGCTTTAGGGATGGAGACTGCTGCCCTCTCTGTTAACACTCGCAGGCTTTTCCAACTCATTCGGTCCACTGGCCTCAGGAAGCCTGGCGTCAGTGAGGTTATTTGCGAAGTGGCTAAGTCTCCGATCACCAACCAACTGAAGTGTATGGATCGCTGTGCCGAGCACTTCCACTCGCAATTCAACTGGTCTCTACCGTCCATCAGTACATGCAGCACACGTCGTTGTGCACCCTGGCTAGTCCCACTGAATCCACCGAGCGAAGCGGAAGTCTGCCTCGAGATTCGACGCTTGAAGCGATTCAAGGCTGCTGGCTCAGACGGACTTCCTCCGGAGTTGTTCAGATACAGCGGTACGGCGGTCATTAACCAGCTGACCTCGCTGTTCGCAAAACTCTGGCATGAAGTGATAGTGCCTTCCTCTTGGGGCGAATCAGTTATTGTCCCGATTTTCAAGAAAGGCGCTCGCAATTCATGTGCAAATCGTCGCGGGATTAGTCGTATTTCGGTTTTCTCCAAGTTATTGGCATCCATTCTGATCCGTAGACAATCCCCAATACGTGAATCATCCTACCGTGAACAACAAGCTGGTTTTCGTCCCAGTCGCGCATGCGTGGATCAAATCTTCACGCTCCGCCAACTCCTCGAACATCGCTACATTTATCACAGGCCAACTATCGTTGCATTTCTAGACATACGCGCTGCATCTGATTCCGTTGATCGACCTGCTTTATGGCGTTGCTTGCTAAAGAACGGTGTGCCAGAGAAGTATATCGCCATTTTACGAGCACTTTACCTTCATACAACCGGCAGAGTGAGGGTCTATGGCCAGCTTTCCTCGCCATTCGCTGTCAATAGCTGTGTACGACAGCGCGACCCTCTTCAACTCCGCAATCGAAGAGGTTCTATCGAGTGCTCTAGGTTTCCAACATTTTGGCTTAGAGCTTCTACGGGGAGAGCGCGCGACCGACTTAGATTATGCTGATGATATCGCCTTACATGGTGACGATCTTCAGGGTATGCAACTCATTCAGGATGGTTTGGCGATTGAAGTATCTAAGTATGGCATGAGCTTCACCCCATCGAATTGTAAAGTACTGCTCCAGGACTGGGCTATACCTGCTTCCGTGATCACTCTCGATGGTGCACAACTTGAACAGGTAGATGGTTTCATCTACCTTGGGAGTTATATTTTTGCTGACGGCACTATCAACAAAGAAGTTTCTCTTCACATCGCTAAAGCCCGATCAGCATTTGGCAATCTGAGGTACTTGTGGCGTCGTCGCGACGTCTCATTCTCGCTAAAAAGCCGCATTTACAGCGCATCTGTTCGTTCAATGTTGTATAAATAATTAAATTTTTTTATTCTCGACAAAGCGAGGCACGCCTTTTGGGCAAGATCAGAATAAGGCATTGTTGTACATAATAGCATACTGTGTAAGTCTAAGAGTAGAAGTAACCAGCTGCAGTCAGTTATGTGGGTCCATATGGCCCGAAGAATGAATGAAGTTTATCCTCGAGGGTATCGGGGCTCGCCCCAGCAGGCGTAATCAGAATTGCATAGGCAAACTGGTTCACAGATTACGAGCGTTTTAAATAGTCTTGTTTAGATAGTTCAATAGAAATGCAAAAGAACGTTCCTTGCCATAAAGCCGGTAAATGACGGTGCTGATTGGCCTCAAAGCAAGTGTTATCATTAGCTGACTCCAAAGGAAGTGCGCTCTCATTGACTGGCTCTGCCCATTAACAATGGTGTTGGACTGTAACTGAGACTCATGCACCATAAAATCGATAACATGATCTCAGACGTGACCACGAGGACTGCATCTCATTCTAGCGAGAAACGGACATTATTATTGGATACTTCGTGTTGCCCCAGGTGTATTTCAATGCGAATTGCCGTTCACACTAAGGTTGCGCGTCGCAATCCATTCACACATTTAAATAACCCTGCAATGAGAACATTGGTACCACTGGCCGTGCACTCACCAAGACCAACCCGGACTGCATCGGTGATAAACCGCGGAGCCGATCCGGACTCCAAAGCGGCCAGCACAGTCTCCGTTTGAATGGGCCCCAGTAACAAACTGATCACAGCCACGTCTACATTGCGTCTACGCAGATCACGAGCCATCTCCATACTCATTCGATCGAGGGCGGATTTTCCTGCATAAGGGTGAGGGAGAGAAGAAAACACGAATGGAATAACAACCTCGCTAAAAACCATGTACAAGGGGATGATGAAAAGAGAAGAGCTGAGTTTGAAGATCTCGTTAAATTTCGTACGACGCCCCAACGTCAGTATGGTAAGAGATAACGATAGAAAAGTAAGGCATCAGCAGTACGCCGGTACGCAGTGCTGACGCTTCGCTACCGCGCAACCACCACCAGTCGCGCATGGTCTAAGGATACTGCGAGGGTAGACCGGTTCTTATGCAGACTCGAACCCGCGCCCTCAGATTAACAAGCAGGCATGTTATCCTTAAGGCCACGTGAATGGTAAGAGATACAGGCCAGTAGAAAGCGCAAATTTGGCAAGGCAAACTTACCAACACAGTATAAAACGTTGAATAGTCGCTGCGTCCCACCAATGGAGGACAGGTTAATAATGACTCCGGTCGGTAGGTCAATTAAGGCCGGCGTGGACTCCCCATTAGTTAGATGCTGCCTTGAGCGACATTCAACCATGAGACGAGTGGCCAGCACACAGCAGGTGTATGCATTGCGAAGCCCGACACGATTGACCAAATCCCACTCTTCACTGGGACTTCGGGCAACGGTAGACGGCTCCCAGTAGACAGACTCGGGGACAGCTTCAGTGATTAGGTAGTCTGAAGCACTGTATGCACTATTCACCAACACATCTAATCGACCACCCTGTTCGCGACGGATTCGGGAGAATAGACCGGCCACCTGACTATCATCCGAGTGGTCAACAGCCACGGGAATGGCTTTCTGTGTGGGCGAAGAGGGACATGGAACACAAGGTAAGAAAGAAATCAATTGTAATCCAAGGAGAGGGTTTCAAAAGGGTTAATGTGACGTATGACAGTCATCAGCAGACGTGCACCAAATGTGGCATTAAAGTAGCCCAGTTTCAAAGTGACAGATAAGGTCGCTATAACTTACCTTGCGATATACCAGGTGACCAAATTCCATCAATAGTTGAAGCTAAACAATACATGATTTTACGTTATACAGTTCAACCTGCTATGGCGACCACCTGTTTATAGCGACCAGCCAAAGATATCCTCAACGTTTTCTTTTAGAAGTAATGTCCCTATGCATGAACTTGTCCATAGCGATCATATGACAAAGGCGACCAATGCGACCGTGCGCCGTTGTCCTAAAGGTGTGTTTGGAGCATGTAGGTGTTACACTACAAAACGTGTACCTCCTATTATGGGCAATTATGGCCATACAGTGTCGAAGTATCATAAAATATCGATCCGCTGCAGTTAACATTGCCATGAGTTAACATGAACGTTTGTAGGCTAAGAATCAATCAAACGAGGTGTATGATTTCGACAATATTAGCATATTTGAGGGTAATTTCGTTTCTACCAGGCTGCCTACGTTTGGCCCTACCTGCAATTTGAAAGGAGTTGTGGATCATCGTTGATGACCATCAGATAGAGGCTGATGGTTTTTGGAATATCAAGTGTGGCAGTTGAACTGTTCGTTGAGCTTCGAACTTTTGTTGCGAACGTTTCGTCATCAAACGTGGTGACATCAACTGTACATAGCTGAGTGGCGTTCGTCAGGGTTGTCCGATTCCCCCATTTTTGTTCAAATTCATCGTGGATTAAATCATTGAGTGTTCCCTTGCGGAATCTGATGATGTAGGCGTTGAAGTGCTGCCTGGTGAAAAGTTAGTTGGGCTAGATTATGTAGACGATGTAGCCTTGCTTTTCGACGATGTTGCGGCGGCACAATCAACCCTGAATAGCCTGTCCAGAGGGGTCCCATTATTTGGTATGCACTTCGCACCTTCAAAGTGCAAAGTGTTGCTGCAGGATCACCAGCCACTTGATGAGCTCTTGACCACTGCTAACGAGGAACTCGAGGTGGTTGATCATTTCACTTATCTTGGCAGTTGCATCATCAATGATGAGCGCATAGAAACTGACGTCAGCTCACGCATTGCAAAAGCCAGAGATACCTTGTCGAACCTGCGGCATCTTCGACAACAGAAGGGTTTCCCTTCGTCTGAAAGGCCGTGTATACAAGGTCACAGTGAGGGCCATTCTGCTCTACGGTAGTGCGACTTGGCCCCTTCGGTCTGAAGATCTGAGGCGCCTTCAAGTCTTTGATCATCGTTGTCTGCGAAGCATTGCTGGTGTCGGATGGCACCAACGTGTCCGCAACGATGATATGCGTACGCGAGTACTAGGTAGTGATAATCATCCTAGTTCCTTGGAACAACAGATAGCAGTGAATAAGTTGCGTTGGCTCGGTCACGTGCTACGTATGCCTGGTCACCGCTTATCTAGGACGGCCTTTTTTAATCTGTCAGGTGTAGGTTGGTGCAAAGCTCAAGGTGGACAGAAGTTGACTTGGCAGTGGGAAATGAAGTCACTGACGACCAAACTGGGTGACGTTGGTCCGTCTCGCTTTCCGGGCTGCAGTCCACCTGACTCGTCTGGTGCTTGACTCGAGACCTTACAGAACATGGCTTGCAACCGACACCAGTGGCGCGTCTGCTGCTGTCTCCTAATCCGATTGTCTGTTTAAGGTGTGTTTGGTACTGAGTTATCTGCGGAGTAATGGCTGATTTTGATGCGGAGTAGTGGAAGCCGCAAGGAAGCTGTCTCGCCGATGCCGCCTTATCTTTGCACGATAGCCAGCTGTTTGTGACTATATGTTGTTAACATAAGGTATAGCCGCCTTGACCCCGAATGTTTACTTAGGGCATTAAGGTTTTCAGGTAAGTCCCCCTTCTCTCCAGATGATTATTCTTTATTTCATAGGTCCTCATGGTTGTATGGCAGCGAAGCATCAGTTCAAATGGCTGGTGTACTGCTGTTGATGTTGAGTGGCGTGCAGTAGCGTAGAGGAGCCTCGGTGAGAGCGCAATCTCGCCTCGATTAGTGACAAAACGTTTGCAACAAAAGTGCAAAGTTCAGTGAACAGTTCAACCGCCATCTGAACAAGCTGAGGTACCAGTCTTCAATAGTATCTCCAAGTTTAATACTATTACAGATAAGGTGACTAAGAGCCCATCTAGATTGGTTCCCAATGGGTAATTAAAGCGTCCTAAAATTGGTCCCAATGAGACATTTTTCGGATATGGAAGAAAATATGCGGTTGTGGGTCACAAAAATCCCGTTGTTAAAATTCCCTATGTACCATATTTTTTCCGCTTCTGAAGCAAATTCCATGAGTCACTCACACAAAATACTAATGCGACCACCTGAAAAAGAAAATCTTTATGCGAACACATGGGAGAATTTCAATTGAGCAAATTATGACAGTTACTTAGAAATGTGAAATTACAGTATAGAAGTTAATCGAAAAGGGGAACTCTCGTGATGAACAGCTGCAGCTTTTTGTTCTGAATGCCCGATGAGTGACTGGAAACTGCGTCATTTGAGTTAATTACCGGTGCAATAGTGGACAACACAGGATGTACTGACAGGGGGCCAATGCAGTCCTAAGGAAGCTTATGGTCATCGGTACAAATTGTTGGTGCAACGCGTTTGTAATCGATTACAAAACGTCCAAAACTGTTAACGGCTATTATGCCCTTAGTTTTATATGAAGCTAGCAGTTATGGAGAAGAGTTTCTACCAACAACTGTGACAAAGTGAAAAGCTTCAATAACTAAGGACGAAGGAGGTAGAATGGCAAAGGCCGCTAAACAAAACTATCTCATGTGATAGGAGGGCCATTCTGGAGTACATGTTGTGTGATTGGATTACGACGAGCAGTCTCGATGTGGACCGTGATTCACACTGAAGTAAACCTTGGTCAATGCGATCACTGGGATCGTAGCAGAAGCAGGTGAAAATCGGGTGCTACTCGACCGAAAACACTGCACATCACAACACGTTTATATCTGATTTGATCTCATCAGGTGGTCTGCTATCTCATGAGATGTTGCAGTAATAGCCGAAGGAGATGGGTCCCTATGTGAAATCGCCAATAATTTCAGAGGGTGGCTGCGCAAATAATCCTCAATGATGCTGTTGAAGTTAACTATGTTTCTGAAGCACCATGACGTGCAGTTCAAGTGCTTGGGGAATATAATCCGTGCAGATTTCAGCCAATCCTATTCAAGGATAGTGTAACTGTTGCTCCCGACAATCGGGTGAATGATCATTCTGTCTCTTTGTCACACTTCCCATGTGTGGTGTAAAGGCCATGGTAATTTCAGTTGTTTTGTGCAGAATACGTCATCAAAAGCACGAAGTTGTCGGAAACAATGTAGGTGAGAAAAAGGCAGTGACTGACCTCATCAACAGCGGATTTAAACGTAGCCACTCGGTGGGGATCGATTCGTGAAAAAATATTCATCGCCCGCAGACACACAACTGGTGGGGCTTTCGATTGAAACAAGCGGTCGGGCATTGTTTAATTTTATAGAGAGTGGCAATCTATTGTTACTGTATATTCATATTTGTTATCGCATTTTCCTTTGACAACGGTGATAAATACTTGCTTGTCAATTTACTTGCGTAGATCCATCGCCGTTATGGTCCAATTTATCTCACTTGCCTTGCTCTGACCCTGTACCACATAAAGAGTTGAAGACTCGGGCTAGATAGTTCATGTGCAAATCAGTAGTATCGCATCACTGGGGCTCAAATGTGCACTGCAACGTAGACATGAAGTAGTAGGTATGATCTTGTTCGATTAACCTTTCGGATGCCATATGCGCAAACATGTATTCAGGGAAAATATGCGTGTCAGTAATGGAAAAAGATGTGACACTAGTGGATGGAACCCAAAGTGACAGTTGCTATTTTTCCCGAGTGACCAATTAGTGTATCATAGAATGACCGTTGGAGCGTCATGAGCGGCCAGTTCATGTGCAACTGACTGCTCGCAGAGACATTTTGGACGAACTTCGCTCACTCAAAAAAGTTCAGTGAGCCGTTAACATACACCGTAAATACTCAGCTGAAATCGATTCCCAATGTGTCAGTACGCATCACTGAAAATGCAATGCACAAAACGACCTTGCCAGCACGACAGTCCCCTGACAGTTCGTAGGGAGCCCGAAATACGTCTCAATTGTAGATGATTCGCACTGTGGCAAATCTTTCGCAGCGCACCTCCTATGCCTCCCAGGCATAAGAGGATAACAGGGCAATGTGCACTGACCTATAGTCCCTATTATTCTAGCCCAAGCTGCTGCCATTTTTGTAGCACGCGAACGAAACTAATGCATACAAGTTCGTCGAAACACATAAATGGTTGGTTTTTTACGGAGAAATTACGCATTCGTCTTAGAAACGAGTTATTTTCACCGGAACGAGGTCCAGACTATCACGCTTAGTTGTATGTCGAATGCAGCGTTTAGTATTGCAATAAACCGGCCACAAATTCCCGACGCAGACTGCCAGCGGATTCCTGACAATCCGACAACCCATCGGCAGGGAAACGATTTCATGGCATTTAAAGCAAACTATCGCACTCAGTAATTCCTCGTTGAAGATTATACGCCATATTCTGTAAGAAAAATGGGGACAAGTTCAAGTGGGACAGGAATACTAGGAGTGCGACGGATGTAGCACAGTGAAAGCGTCGTTCATCCGGGGCGTATCCATTTGTTAGCTGCGGGTGTACAATGGGCACGCGCGTCACACCGCGGTCAACCAGCCTATGCTCACGTGTGCTGCACTAGCAGTCCCGCTGTGCCGGTCATGTGTATAAATAGAACAAAACGGAAGGAAAGGAGAAAAACTAAAATAAACAACAAACAAAGTGAAATGAGCACTGGAAGGCAAAAT